ACCGCAAGTAGGAAAGGACTCAAGATTCAAAGCAAGACAAAGTGTGGGCGGCTCCGTAAATCGGTACTTGGATATCGAAGAGGATCTCGAACAAGCTCGAAAACGTCTTGCAGAGCTTGGGCCTGTCAGTCGTCCTCAACTTGTCGACCCCAATGAAGGATCATCAAAAGCACATACAGCACCTCGCCCAAGTAAGCGACCCAGAGCGTCTATAGTAGATGCACCGGACCTTTCGTCTCCTCTTCCTGCCTCCAAAGGGAAATTCAGCGTCGCGCATCCCTCGATGGCCTCCATTCCTGAACCATATTCATCTCCCATCAAGGAACCCGAGGCCGAACACGAAATACCTTTAAAGGATGGGGAAGATGACGAAGATGACTCTTCATTGCGGCTGCAAAGATTGATGCGGACTGTAGAAGATGTAAACAGACGCGAATCGATTAGAGAGTCGCGACGCAGTATGGCAGGACCGACCGAGGGCTACCTCCCCATCACATCATTCAAAGTACCTACAAATCCTACCTCCTCCACGTCTACTAAATCCCTCGCATTACCATCTCAAAGTGCTATGCCAGTACGTGATGTTATTATGACGGACGACACGCAAGAAGAGGAAGACACGTCCGCAAAGGAGTCGGAAACCGCCCAGCCAAAGCGAGCAGGTCGTAAACCAACCAAGGCCAGTACTACGAAATCTTCCACTACAGCCAAGCGTACGACGACCAAGAAACGCGCCTACGAAGAGATGATGGATGTGGACGAAGCCGATGCATCTTCTGCTCAACAAACCTCTGTGGACAATTCGATGCAGACACAAGAGGATGTCAAGATGGAAGACGAGAGTGATTCGGTGCCCGTTACTCAAGGTCGTGCCACGCGAGCACCCGCAACATCTGCCGCCCCGAAGAGGAAAGGTAGAACTGCCGCTGCTAGCAAGGCAAAGTCGGCAGCACAAGAAAGCCAAGAAAATGCAGATGAGGACGTGAAACAAGGGGTGGACGAGGTACGTGTTCTCTCTAACCATATGACTGATAAATTTATCTGACTTTGTCTTGTCAGGCGCAAAAGCCCTCCGACAGTGTGGACTCTCCAATGGAAGACGCTCCCACCGATTCAACGGCCCCTCGTGGACGTCGTGGAGCGAGTGCTGCTGCATCTCGCACAACCTCCAAGAAGGAACCAGCTGGCACAAAAACATCGCGCGCCACAAAGGCCAAGCCAGAAGCAAAGGCTACTTCTACTTCTACGACACGAGGAAAGCGCGGAGGTAAAGCTTCTGCCAAAACTTCAGAGCAAGAGGATTCTCTGCAGGGTGAAGGGGACGGAGACGCCGAAAATGAGGATGATGGAGATGAAGACGAATTGGATCTCATCTCTTCGGATGCCCCAGGTACAAGAGCTCCTAGTAAGGGCGTGAAGCGCACGACAAGAGCAAAGACCGTAGACAAGGAGGAACCTGCGCCCGCGCCAAAAACAAAAGCTACCAAGAAGGCGACGACTACAACGGCAGCAGCTACCAAGAGAGGTAAAGCTACAACCCCTGCCCCTGTCGCTCCCAAAGTAGAGGAAGAAGAACAAGCTAGTATGGATCCCGAACCTGCTCCGGCAAAGACGAGAACAGGGAGGACGACTAGGAAGGCGACCACCCCTGCTGTTGCTGCGGCTGGGGAAGAGGATACGGACGAGGTAGAAGTTAGTGCGAAGCCTCGCAGGGCCACAAGATCTAAAAAATGAGAGTTGGATTTCCGTCGAAGTGCATTTGTGTATCTGTATTTCCTCATAATCTATCGTTGCTTTACGAAGGTATAACCAAGCGCATCTTGTAAGAACTGCAAGGTTAAGTCAAGTGCGATGTGAGAACAAGAACTCTATTTCATGGATTGGATGACTCTTGAACAATTCTCTACGCGAGTATACTTGATCTTGCCACGAGATAACGAAAAGACATGATGGTACGCAAGTTCAAGAATAGGGACCCGGTCTTT